TTTAAAAAAAAAAATCAAAACCGTAAGGTTTAATAATATTCCTTAAATAAAAAATATTGTATAAAAAGAAGTGTTTAATAATATATATTTTTCATTGTTTGTATTTATTTTATTTTCATAATAGACGATATGTGAAAAATATAAATAATTATATTTAAAATAAAGTCTAAAAAAAAGGTTTAAAATATGAGCTCCTACGTGCATCGCACGGGATATACACTAGTAAAAAAAAAAATCATTCAACTTAATGTTTTACAATAAAAAAAAAAATTCATTCAACTGAAGTTTAGAAAATAAAAAAAAATTATTCAACTTAAAAATGAAAAAAAAATACAATTGATGCGATTTTCGATTGCTTTGTAACACGAACGTATGTTCCCACGCTTCGAAACAAGTTCGTTCTCCTGAGTCGACCCGTCAGACTCTCGGGAGAACGAGCCTGTCTCGAAGCGTAGGTGTAACACCCCGCCTTTTCTAACTTTTACTTACGAAAAACTGAGTAAAATTTTCTCTCACTCTTTTCCTTTTATTTGATTTTTTTTTTTTATTTCATTAAGATTTTTTTTTTCAAATTTCAGAACCACCGGTTCACCGGTTTTACCGGTTTTGAACTGGTTCGAACAGTTCGAAACCGGTTCTTGTTCCCAGCTGTTTAAACACTCAAACCGGACCGGTACTAGGTCCGGTTCCCGGTCGAACCGGCCGGTCCGGTCCGGTTTTGATAACATTGGTAATATGTGTGCAGTGTGTGTGAGTTGTGTGCGTGTGTGTATAAGTGTGTGAGATGTGTGTGTGAGAGAGAGAGAGAGAGAGAGTGATTGTTTGGTGGGTGAGATGTGGGCACGTGGGTAGATAAGTGGGTGAGTAGAAATTACACTATTGCCCTTAATTCATGGTCAAACGTATACATTTGACTTTATTATTAAAATTTGACTTAATCTTGACCATTGATATGATAAATCCAATGATGTAGATTTATTCTTATTTCTTTCACTATCTACTCGTATGGGTGGCCATTGGATGAGGGACACATTCCTTCAAATAATGTCAAATTTTTCTTTTATTATATATATTATATTTTTTATAATGGGGGTATCTAATGAAGCTTGTATATGCGTGAATTTCGGACATTTGGATTCTTTGACATTTTCGTAAGGCCAAAAGTTGTCTTCTTCTTAGTAAGACATTACGATGTCGTTTACCAGTTATGTGATTATAACGCGACAAAGATTTCGTAGAATTGAAAGATAAAAAAATGTCTATTTTCATCTATTTCACATAACTGCGAATAATATGTCATTTTCGCATAGTCACCATGAACATTATTATTTCAAACATAATTACTAGATATTGTATCTTATGATTTAATCTCCTATTACCTAAGATTCACCTTGAACATTGTTATTTCAAACATAATTATTTGAAATTGTATTTTATTATATAATCTCCAATTACTTAAGATTCGCATTGAACATAGCTATTTCAAATATAATTACTTGAAAATGTATGTTATAATATTATCTCTTATTCCTTATGATTCATCTGGAACATTGTTATTTCAAATATAATTGCTTGAAATTGTATCTTATGATATAATTTTCTATTACTTAAGATTCACATTGAACATTCAAACATAATTACTTTAAATTATATCTGTAGCGCCTGCTTACGTATCTATAGAAAACACTACGATTTCAGAAATAATTTGAACTTTTGAAAACTTTTAAACTTTAAAAATTTTCTTAGGCACTACTGAAAACTCTTTCTTTTCAGAACTTTCTAACATACTTTTCTTTCTTTTCTTTTCTTAAAAAATAAAAAATAAAATAAATTAACCTAAGCCTCACACTTAGGTTCTTAGTGAAATCACTTTCAAAACTTCTTCCTTGCTTCATACGGAATCGAGACATAAAACTTGTAATTAAATAAAGTCCCAATCCACACAATCATAATCTCAACTTTAGAATAAACACCCAGTCTAAAAAGGTTTGCGAAAGAATAAAAGTCATAGTACGATTGTCCACTCTCGCCTATCCCCGTGTCCGCTGCCAGCTCCTTAACCTAAAAAATAATGGGGTGAGCAAATCCTCTATGCTCAGTGGTAAAAGCATACTATGCATCAATTCATTATAAGCACAGATAATATAATAATCATATGAACATGAATCAACTGCTGCATTGATAAAACCAACTTCAAGCCCCTGGGTAAATTCGGACTAGTGGCTCTTATTTCAAGCCTCCATAATATACCTGACTATTGACTATATACACCGTTAACCCGAAGTTTAGAAACTGATGGTCTCATAACTGGATACTGTATAGGGATGCCTGGCATCAACCGTTCCCGCAAGTATGTGTAGGGCTGCCTAGCATCAACTGGTCCCGCAAGTACTGTGTAGGGCATCCCAGCATCAATCGGTCCCGCAAGGACTGTGTAGGGCTACCCAGCATCAATTGGTCCCGCAAATAGGAAAAACTGATAGCTCGGCCCATACTAACATACATATCAAAACTATACTACCACAGTATAAAAACCCCACCAGATGTTCGAAAATGAATGGTTGAAGGGATGATTAATGAACTGCTCGAGGGCTCAACTCCTTGTAATCTACATTTTTTTAGAAAGATAACTTTTATAAATAACTTATCTTTCTCTTGGTAAAATAAATTACCAACTTAACTAAATTTTCTTAGCTTAAAGGCTTCTTGACTTAGTGAAAATTATCTTAAGTTTGGAGCTCTCGGCTAGGGTAATTTAAAGCTCAGGAAAAGCCTCTCGAATTTAAAAATTAAGGTTCAGCTCGAAAGTAGGTTCAAAGGCCCGAGAAATGGCTCGGTGGCACACGGCTCGCTGTTGGCTCGGTGCGGGTTGGGCGTTGGCGCGGTTTGACAGCTGCTGGCACCGGTCGCATGGGCGCGAAGGGTACAGGTTGCCTGGGCGTTCCCTTGCTCGACGCAACCCGGCAATTCCCAGTCCACTGTGGCCTGGCCTCGCGCGCGCGTGCTTGTAGGACGTGCTACGGGTAAGTGGCTTCTGTAGTCTGGGGCACGCGCGCTAGCAAGAGAAATTGCGTGCATGCTCGCGCTGCTGGGACGTTGGGATGTGCACGCTTGCTGGGAGACACAGAGAATAGTGCGCGCACGTACTCAGGCGGTAGCAGCTGCGGCACAGCGCGAGGCGACTTGGCGTGCTGCACGCCTGCGGGCCATGTGCCTGCGAGGCATGTGTGACCAGCGATCGGTTGCGCCTGTGAGGGCTGTCGTTTGCCCGACATGAGGCTGACGATCTCCCGACGCACGACGGTTTGCGGCTAGGTCCAGTTCAACGTTCAAGGGTCGAGGCAAGGGTTCAACCAAGGTTAAAGCAACACACAAAATCGTTGATTTTTCTCACAAGTCACACATAGGTCTCAAGGGTTCAAAAGTTTGAATTTTTCCATGGCATAAAAAGGCTTGTCTTCGATTCAGGCGTCAAAATCTCATGGTTTAAGGCTAAAAATCAAGGCCTACAAGAGAGTTCCAATCTCATAAATTTTTACATAAACCATTAACCAAGCTTCATGGATTCAATCTCTTCACATAAGAATTAAATAAATTTTCATTTTTCTTATGAGATCTAAGTCAAATTCTTGAGAAAGAATTATCAATTGATGCTTAGAAATTTACCTTTCTTCTTGGATCTTAGATTAGAGAAGGAGATCAGTTTGATTGGATCGAAGGGCTCAGACGCGGTTGCTCTCGGCATCGGCAACTCGATGAACTCGTGGGTCACGGCGTGCTCGTCCTCGGCTCTAGGGACTCCCACGTCCAGGTTGCTACTCTCGGTCCTCGCGGCTAGGCGCACTCGCAACTGCTCGGAAAATGCCGGGGAAAAAAGAGGATTTTTAGGAGAAACTTGAGAGTTTTAGTGTTCTAATGTTGCTGCAAAGTTGGGTCGACTTAGAGTCTGTGAAATTTTAAACAGTACGCGTTGAGCCCTAACTTGTAGTTCCGCTGCGCTTAGAGTTTAATTCATAAGTAGTCCGTGACTTGCATAAATTCGACGTTCCTAACCGAGCCCCAACAACTTGAAGACCCCCTTTCATATAGGGTTGCCTCTTTATTAAGTCTTCTTGTTGTTAGGAAAGAGATCAAAATATATCTTATTTCCTAGTTGGATACGATTCTAGACATGCGTATCATATAGGAGATCTACGTACCTATACCGCTAGGATTCTTACAACCCTTCTAAGTCAGTCCTTGTCCCTCTCTCTATCTTGTACATCTCTTGTTACCGACTTGCTCCACTGACCACTCCCCGACCTCCATACTAGGTCGGGCAAAAATCCTGTCCCAGTTCCACCCTTTCCAGGTTGGTAGATCTCTTATACTCACTGCCAAGTAGCATCAAGAGGTCATACCGCAGACTGCTAGCTATAAAATCCTCGAATCAGTGGCTCCAAGATAATGTCCACTATGCCAGTTCACCGAGCTATTCTAGGTGCAATATCGGAGAACATGATCCCAAACTTATTCAAGCATAGAACATTAAATAAAAATATCTTCAAGAGGTTCAATATAAAAGCAACCAAAAGACATACTGAAGGACCAGTGAACGTCATGAACCGATAGAATTTGTTACCAAGACAGAAGAATATAAATGGTGCACACAATTGTCCTCGATGTTTTTAGGTGGAGCATGTACCTAAAAGATGCAAGCAAGAGTAAGCTATTTGTGATGTAACCTTCCCATAGACTGACATTGTGGGGACTTGCTCATCTTGAGAGGATGATTTGGTTGGAAAAAATGTTAAACGAACAATAAGATTTCAATAAGACTCCATGAAATCCGTCATGAAACGTCGAGCCTCATCAAAGAAGAAATTCGAGATTTTTTTATTTTTTTTTTCCTTTTTTTTAACAGTAGTTCTCTCACAACTTGGAAGGAATATTGATCCAGTAGGCAAGCACAAATCCTAGCGAATCAGCCCACAATAAAATTGCTTCATTCCCATCATCACAAGTGATATAGAAAGAATGATCTTTAAGATGATATGCATGGACACAAACACTGAGCCAAATACAAGACATCTTGGAACGACAATAAGCCAATTTATCTAGCAAAGTAATTTAGTAGACACCTGATGTTCCCCGTAGCCACACAGAAAAATACGACTGATAATAATACTAGAAAAGGCTCAAAATGTTAACATATATATATATATTACTGCATGCTGGGATTGTTCCGTTCCATAAATTCAGGAAATACAAAACATTTGCTCCACCTTTCCTCTCCTCAACACTACTTTTCTTAATCGGCCAAAATACTTCCAACTTTCATAATCTTGTCTGTGCTTCTTTACAGGGGATGTGAACTAAATAGCCACTCGAAATTGCAATATTATGAATACCATCCGCATACTGAAATCGGATAAATCCAGAGGAAAAGAAACAACAAACTCCACAAAAGTAAAAATCCTCTTCAGTCACCGTTGCCAATAGCTAAACTGTTCAATTTTGAGTTGAGGGGTTAAAGATGAAAGGCCAGTAGCAATTAATCTGTATATATACTTTAGTGCCATTTCTCTCGGACTACAAAGCTATTTATCAATCTGCTCTTGAATTTGTCCATCTGAAAAATCACATAAGAGACCAAAAATGAAACAAATAGATAGATAGCTTTAGTAACTAATGAAGAATTGTACAAAGAGATGCAACTTTTACCCGCGAGCTCCACGGCCAAGTTAGCAAGGGCATCAGCCTCTGAATTCAAGTCCTTCATATATAT